CAATATACCTTCTGCAAAGAACAGACTTAATGCTTAAAGGACAGTTGTCAATCCAATTCTGTTTGTGGTGATAGAGAAAAATGTTGGCAAGTGTAGGACCCAGTGGGGTGCCCATAGCAATGCCATCTATCTGCTTATATAGAGTATTGTTAAAGAGGAGAAGAGATTTTTAGTCCAGAGTTCAAGCATATATTTAAAATCAGATTTAGAAAGTCCATTGACAAGAATGTCATTGTCCAGGGGAATATTAGTAAAATGAGAAATAATATTGAAGGTAGCCATTACATGATTTTTAAGTGGGGGGTGTCTGATTTCTTGGGAAAATTGGAAGGAGTTAGGTGTTGTAAATTCATTCCAAGCAAAAGGTTTTAAGATGGTACAAGGAATTTAGCTACGTTATTACTGTGAGTGCCTAAGGCGTAAAGTATAGGTCAGAGGAGGTTGTCTGGTTTGTGAACTTTCGGCAGACCATATAATATTCCATGTTGTGAGCCTGTGGGATATAAATTGTTGTAAACACAATCAAAAATAATATTTATTTTGTTTAGGTTTCTAAGAAATCTCTGAGTTTTCCCTTCAAGTTGTAAAGTATGGGTTAATGGTTGTTTGTTTATAAGTTTCAACTTATTGCTGATTTTAAGAATGTCAAGCATTTTCTTAACATAGTCAGTTTTGTTGACGATAACAACTCTATTTCCCTTGTTCGGGTGGGTGATGATGATATTTTTGTTTGTGCTTGTTGAGAAGTATTCTTGAAAAAAACAAGTAAATATTTTATATTCCGGTACAGGGATTCCAGGGATAGAGGTAACTGACATAATTGAATTTTGAGAGTTCAAGTGCAGTTTTTTTATTATCATGTAAAGTGATGTTGCTGTAATTGAAGATGACTGGTCAGGGGAGATCTTGCTGCGAGTTATGTTGTTAGAAAGTTTCCTTAGTTTAACTTTCTGTATGTGTTTGTGTCTAGCAATTTTATTTTCATTACTTTGGCTAATAAGGTTCAAGAAGTGGTTGAAGTCCAGCTAGGATATAAAGTTGGAGAGTGAAGCTAGAGATGAATTCAGCTTAGATGAGAGATGATATTTGTGTAGGTGTTTCCATCTAAATTCTTCATTAAGTAAGCACTTTTGACAAGTACGGTATGCTATTGAGTTTTGAAGGTTTCGATTAGCAAGTTTGAACTGAAGGAACTTCAGAGTTAATGACTGGGTTTTGCATTCTGTTAAAAACTGGATGTCAAGATTTATATTTTATATAGAAATGATTTATTATAGAATTTGTATATTATTGTGTCCTATTAAAGAGACCAACACTCATGGTGAGTGCAACATGTTTCTGCCATGCAATACCAACATGGTCAATTTTGACACCAGCAAAATTGAAAACTGTCTACATTGCTGTTTGGTACTTGCAAGAAGGTATTTTTGAACCAAATTCCATGTAAGTTGGTTGATATATATATGAATAGTTCATGAAAACCCCAAATTGTGCTTTCCTCGCTAAAAATTGAGCGAATGATAAAAAGCACCAATCTTGTCTATATTTCTGTTTGATTTGAATCCTGTAAAAAGTATCTTTGTACCAAATCCCATGTAAATTGGTTGAAGTACAGTGGAGTAATTGTCAAAAAATTCTAAAATTATGCTCTTTGTGGCATCTGGACCCCCTATAATTACTAAAAAATTGAAAAGTCGAATATTTTGTTTGTCAATGTATGTTGCCTGTAGAAAAGTATCTTTGAACCAAATTCCATATAAATTGGTCAAAACAAAGCTAAGTAATTGACCAAAACCTCTAAAATTATGGGTATATTTAACCTTTTGACCTTCATAAGATCACCAAAGATTAGCATATCCCACAGTAGAGTAATTGTCAAAACTCCTAAAATTATGCTTTTCGTAGCATCTTAACCTCCCACCCGCCATAATTACTAAAAATGGGCAAGTACACCATCTTTGTTTGTCAATGCATGAGACCTGTAGAATTATGTTTTTTCTGAGTTCTAACCCTCCTAAAAAAAGACTACAAAATGGGCAAATCCAACTTTTTTATATTTCGATTTGTTGGGTGCATAAAAATTTATATTTATGCCAATTTTCATCTTATTGATGTAAATATGACTGTACAGTAACCCAAAATTTATATTTTGGGGTTGTTTACTTTCAACCTCGTAAAATCCCTAAAAAAAGGGCTAAATGAAGAAATACGAAAAAAGGTGTTTGGCCATATTGGGCGAAGATATAACATTATCAAGTCAATCTGCTTAAAGATTAAGGAATGGTGGTCAGTTGAAAAGTGTTTGGAAGAAGAAAGAAGAAACAGTAGACCAAGTGTTTCACTGCAGAGACATAATAAATAAATAAATAAATAAAAATTGTTAAACACTATTTATTAATTGCTGATCAAAACATTATATTCTATACATCCAATCAGTTTAGACATATTTAATCTTTATGATTTTCTTTTGTTATGTTATTTTTTTATTACAGAAGTAATTATGTTACCCGATAAAATACACTTAAGTTTTATATGATAATGACTTACTGTCACAATGTACTATAGACTGGCAAATGCTAATTATCATTATCTGTCTTCTTGGAGTAATTAAATATTTCTGTGGCTTTCAAAGGGACACATTATTAGAAAAATTTACTGTCAACAACAAGAAAAACATTACAAGAAACAACTAAAAATTGCAGGTCTTTATTTACTTGGAAGGTATTTTTATAATCACTGTTCTACCTTCAAGTGTGGCTTTACCACATGTACACTTTCTTGAAAAGCTTGTGTAACTATCAGAACTTTCCATTACTAATGATTAGCATTTTGAAATTCAGCTCTTCTTTACACTTCTTTTTCAAGATCTGGTTTCCCCCCAGATAACCATCTTTTCAAACTCACTTATTCCTAGTAAATTCGTACATGTCCGGGATGAGTGCTGGACAATTTTTCACACTGTCTCAATTATGTTACATTGGTTATTTGAAAGCTGGATTATGTATTTGAGATTTTTAAATTAAGAAGTACTTTGAATCTAACTCAAGTAAATGTATTTATTTATTGAAATGTTCTAATTTTAGAGCTAGAATGAACTTTCATAAAAGTCACCTAATAAATTTTAAAAATAGTTGACTGTTCTAGGCTATTTTATAATTGTCATGTAGGATGATTACAGGAACCTTATTTTTATTCTTACCCTTTTTTTCTTTTCTGGCTAAGCAACAGCTAGTGTGTCTGTTTCCTAATTAAGGCATACTATATTATTATGTATTGTTACTCTCATTAACAGTATTAGTAATACTATTTAGTGTATTAAGTGTTATTACTTTTTATTTTAACTTATTGGTTGTTTAATTAGTTTAATATACGTATTTAAATATACTTGAGATTATGGCTAAAAATATTGTTCACAGTGAAGTTACCAAACTGATGAAACAATTTACACTAATCTTTATAAGTAGAACTGTAAGAAAAGTATACTTAATTAGCTATACTGATTAGCAAGTTGTGTTTTAGTTTCACTCTAAATACATAATTACTGTGATCAAATGTCAATATTAATTGTGCAAAACCTCATCTGGTTGTTTACTACTTTTTATCCTGTGCAGTAAGTTATTTGTATTTTATTGTCATTTTGAGACTGGAGACAATCTCATTTTTAGAATTTGTATAAAATAATCTTTGTTTTTTAAAAAATTTAGTTTTTTAACAAGCTTAATACTATTGTATTATTCCAAATGTAATTAGTTATAATCATGTTTTGCCAGTTTAGAAAAAGATACTCACTACATTAACAATTATTGTTGTAACAAATACCATTATTTAAATAATTTTCCATTTACTACTGTGTTTGTTGTGTCCCAGCTGGCCTGAGGAGCTTTATATTGAATGAAACACATTGTTGAAAATGGATATGGTGAACATAGTGTGTTTGAAGTATTCTTACACTTCTTGAAAACACTAAGAGACTGAATAAAGAAAGTAGTGTTAAAAATATAATAAGCCTATTACTAATGTTTGATGATAAATGTAATTTATGTTTTATATCTGCTAAAGCTACAGGTAAAAGTATGCCTTATTGTAAAAGTCAAAGACAGTATCTTGTAAACACTTATAACATATAAGGAATCAGATATATAATTCTTGTTTTATATTTCTTTGGCATTTATGCAAACTTACTACAGAGAGCAGGTGCCTATATAATATCCATCATATCTTTTACATGTTATGTTTTTAAAGAACGTGTACTTATGTCTACGTTGAAGAGATGTTTAACATGTACATGCAACATTTAGTGTACCAGAATAAACATCTCTAGAATACCTATCATGTTTTATACTCATTGTTTGGTTTTTGTGAGAAAATTATTTGAGTTTATAGTGAATACTGTGTATAACAGGAGCCTATACACATAACATGTAATGGACTATCTGTTGTGTTTGATATTTGTTGATTTTTTTTTTTCACAGAAACATGTAGTATCTAACAAGCACTTGTAAATATGATGTGTAGTGGACCATAACTACAGCACATGTCATGTCTGCTTGCTTTTTTTAACAGTTACATGGACATATGCATTCACGTATTTTAAACAAGTTGATTACTTGTTCAGTCTTTGTTAACATCTAACCTACCTATCCAAATCTTACAAGTTAATTAGACTGTTACAACTTAATATGTTACTGGTAGGTAATATGTTGAGTGTGGGCATCTTGTTACATAAATCAACACACATTATTGTCCTTGGCCAGATCATGAAATGTTTGGAAATTTTTATTTTCTTATATCTGGTTTTGAATAGTATTCATCTCGAGATTTATTTAGAACAATGTAATTTTTATTTTGTGTGATTGTACTTTTACAGTATAAAATATTTTAATTTTTCACATGATAAACATACACTTTTGTGTGTAAATGGGTAAGGGGATACTAGATATATGAAACCAACTGACCAGTTACATTGCATGAACATGTAAATTATTGTTTATAAATTTTAGTTTGCAGGTAAAGAATATCAGGAAGCACTAGCCACCCTTGATGTTACAGAAGCAAACAGTATAGGACCAAACACAAGAAACCAAGAACCACTAGACAAATCAGTTGTAATGGGAGACAAAAATGTACAGTAAAAGCTTTCAGTTTTAAAATGCTTGTCATTGTTAATCTAAGAAATATGAAAACTAGCAGATGGACAGATTTATATTTGGTTGAACTTAACAGTGATTAGCTGGTTATTCTTAGATGAGAATGATGGGCAAATAAAGAATCTAATAATCAAAAACAAAATTTAAAATGTCTGTAATAATAAATATAGCATATTCTTTGACATATTGTTTAGGCAGAGTATTCATGATGAAACTTAATTGAATGGATGGCAAGTTCCTGTTGTAGAAATACAAGCATAAATTATATTCTGTCAAACAGGGATTAGCTGTGTTTGAAATGATACGTGATACCAACTGAAACATATTAATTCGGTCAGGAATATGTATACTTGTATGTTTGGCTGGCAGAATATAAATCTAGTTGGTAGAACATATGGCCAAACATGGTGCTTTGTTCCAACTTGATAATGTTAAAATTCTCAGTAGCACAAAAAAGCTAAAGTGTTGAAAATAAAAGAAGCCAAATTAATTATTTAGTTTCAACCAAAAATTAATAGATATTCTGACATATAGTAGCATTTTTTTCTTAACCTTTTGTACAAAAAAAAAAAAATAAGCTGGTTCTCCTATATATATATATAAGAAATTTAGAGATGAAAACATACTGAATTAGCTTTTTATAGTAAATTCCAAATTTTCATCATGCTCTCATCTGAGAAGTATCCAACTTCATTCCTTGCTTTTGGTGTCTACTGCTGAGTGATGTTTTCTGAGCAACCATGACTCTAAATATTTTTTTGGGTCAAAGCGTGGAAAGGGCAATCCAACAAAAACTATTCCCATTTCTTCCAGTGAATGTGAACGAGGGTTTATGCAGATGAATTTGATTGTCACTCCAACCAGAGCTTCGTTGATGACAAAAACCGTTTCTGCACTTTTGTTTATTAAAATTCAGAGCGTGTTTCAAATGCTGCAATTTTTCCAAAACTGTCTTTTCAATCAAATACTGACGAAATCCATGAATCATATCTCTTTCATTCAGCTCTTTCATCAAGCATGCATGCACACTGTGCTATATCGCCATCCTCACTATCAAGCAACCTATTTTCGATCGATTTTTTAAAGGTTCTGTAAAAAGCTTCCAGATTAATTGGAGTATCCTTTTTGAAATCTTTGTTGTGAAGTGAAACTGCCTGAAAGTGAAGAGTTTTGGCGGCTTCCATGGAATTTTTATAATATAGGCCTATAATATGCATATCGTTCAAATATAATGTATTTTTCATTGAGGTACATGTTATTATTATCAAGTTTTTTTTATAGTTTATAAAAGTTTGATTGAAGCCAACTGGTTTATTTTTACTACATTTAGGTTTACAACTAAGGTATTCTAAACCACATATTTATGGATTTCGGCTCTCGCAGAATCTTAGGGATATTGCTCCAGAAATGGTGAAGTTGGTGGAATCAAAGCTTATCAAGCAACCTCCATGGACCAGTCAAAAAACATCAGGAGTTGCAAGGGAACTGAATTCATTCATTTCAATAAGCATGATAAATTTGGCAAAGGTGAACTTAATTTATTTTAATAACAGTTCATGATAAAAAAAATATACCCAGTAATATTATACTTATTTTTCCTCTCTGGGGTTTTATTTAACATTAAAAGTGTATTCTCTAGATTTGTTTCAACAATGAATTTCTCGCATGAAAGAGTATATAACTTTTACATTTCTACTACAGGCATAAATAAGTATGCCTGAAAATAATTTTCACGAGATTAAAGTGGTTGGGTCATTTTCCCACTAATTTTGAAAAACAAAAGAATTTTTGTTGAGAAGCTTCTTTTGTTTTGCATGACAGATTTGTACATGGCTCTGGTAGCTCCTGGATTGAACACAAGTCTTTACGTGGAGACATGGAGAAAAGGAAGGGGTGAAATCTTGTATTCTGAATGTGGAGCCAAATATTCTGTGTTGAATGTTGAGAAAGTATCATGCACAAACAAAACTAGTCAGTCAAGCATAACATTTACATTTGAAGAAGATCACAGCAAATGGGCTATTTCATCAGTGCCAGCAGAATCCTGGGTTTGTGTTGGAGACATTAATCGAATGGTGAGTCACAGTAGGAAAAGTTTGATTATTACTGTTGTTTGTTATGCTCCAAATACATAAGAACAGAGTAAATATATCTTCTTCTTTTTGAATCTTTATATCTATTCTTCATTATTTTTTTAAAATTTTCTTTTAGGATTCTTTTGTCTGTTCCTTTTTTCTCGTTTTTGGAATCTCGTTGTCTATTCTCCTCCATCTTTTCACCATCTTTTTTGGAATTTTGTTTTCTGTTCTCCTGTATCTTTTCACCATCTTTTTTTGGAATTTTATTGTATATTCTCCTGTGTCTTTTCACCTTCTTTTTTGGGATCTTGTTGTTTGTTCTTATGTATCTTTTCTCTTTTTGGGGATCTCATTGTTCATTCTCCTGTTCCGGGTTCTTGTTAAATTTTCTTTATCTTTTCTCTTTCTTGGTTCTTGTCTGCTTGTAAACAAATTCCTGGTTTCTGTAGAGAAACAGTTTATTGCATGAAAGTATTAAATTCGTTTCTGTACCTGTAGAAGTATTTCTGTTTTGGTCAGTCCAGAATTCTTTGAAAATTCAAAGATTTAAATGTTCTGTTTTCATACAAAATTATATAAGATTTTATGGAACTTATTTATGACTAATGTAACAAGGGTGACAAATATTAGAAATGAATACATTAACAAAATTTAGTTTTTTTAATACCACATATCAAAAGGTAACCAATTTTTACACACCCTGAAGTGATATTTTTACTGTGAGTAGTTGAATATATAACTCATGATACAATAACCCATATAAACATAAGGTCAAATGTACAATGTTTTTAAAATATGCTTTATTTAAAAATGCAGAAATCCTGAAAGGTCAATACTATTTTTCTTAAATTATTGTGCTGAAATAATTTTAAATTTGTCAATTCCAACAATGTAAGTGCTTGCTTAAGTATAAATATGTTGGGGTTTACTTGTGAAGTCATAAAAAAAAAAGGTAAAGCAGTTAAAATTAACAACAGCTATTCAGTCACCTTACTAAAAATTTAAAATGGAATATAAATTTATTTTTTCAGAAATCCCAGTTTAAGAGAGGTGGTGGTACATTATGTTTGAAGGACAAGTTTGTTTTTCAAACATTTTCTTCTTTTGTTAGTAAGTATGAGAAATGTCAACCACATCAACAACATGAACTGTGATGATAACAGTCTTCTCTGTATGACATTAACTGTGGTATTTCTACTATTAGTGTTTTTAAGTCACATGTAAAGTGTTTGTTAATTTTAGTCTATATACACCAAGGGTATTGATGACCTCAGTGTTAGATTGTTTACTTGTTTACTTTAGGTGTAGTACCACTTTCTCAGATATTAGTAAAATATTTGTTTTTGGATACTTGAATCTGTTATGCTTCAAATTTTTGTGAACTTTTTTTGCCTTTTATCGGAACTTGAAACATTGCCTGCTGAAAGAAGTAGGGTGAAAACAACCAATAAAAAACTCCAGGCTTGTGGTGTCTGCTATATGAAGTCACACTAAACAGTCTTTGATAATATATAAAAAAATGCTAATCCTAACACTTAAGTTAGTCATATACATATATGTTACAAACTAATGATACTTTTAACACTAAGCTACATTATGATCAGATTTGTAAGAAACTGATGATAAACAGAAAAGATGATAATTTTATTACTAAACTAAGAATCATGTATGGTTTTTAAACATATACACAAAAGATACTATTTTAATACTTTAATAGAGTATACATATTTTAAATAACAGGTGCTTTTTGATGATTGGCCAGTTTTAAATTTTTTATTCAGTGGACTTTGTCTTTTTACAATATTTTTTGATGTCGTAATTGATGTTTTTAAATAGTCATGTTTTACAAGCATGTTTATTCAAGATTTTAGATGATGTTTTAGTGATTTTAAAAATAAGTAATGTGCTTTGTAAGTTTATTGAACTTACTTCTAGTATTAGTATTTTTGTTGCAGTTTTTGTGATCAGAACCTTTTTTTCTAAAGATAACTTCTAGTAGTTAGATGTCCATATTAACATCTTCATCTTAATTATGTATTTGTTGTATATCCTGATTCATATAAACCTCTTATAATTTTGTTACATTTGAAAATGTAAAGCTGTATAATAAAACATAGAAATAGCAGCTGTCTGAGATATTTCTTTTTCTTAAGAGTTGCATTTTTTTTTCTCACAGCATCTTCCATCTATTTTAATATTAACATTTTATAATCTGTGGAGTAGCTTAATGAATTTTATAAATATGGAAATATAATTAAGAATTTGAGTTTTTTAACCCTAAAATGCCATGTGGGGTCAATATGACCCCATCCAAGTTAAACCTGTATACTAAGCTAACCGTGCTGGCATTCTAGGGTTAAATGTTGATATACTTGATTAGAGGAGTTATTTTTTTGATCAGTGAAGCTATAGGTAACTTAACATTTTATACACTACTTAACAGACAATATATTTTTTGGTTTGTTTTAGCTTTTTGCACTGCAAGATTCACATCTTTATTTTGAACACAAAAGCAAGCTAAATGTTGTCATTGTAATGTTAATCATTCTGTAATTGTTTTTGGCTTCAAATTAGAGTTGTATTGTTTTATTACATAGTGTAAGTGGATTTGTTTGATAACTTCAAGATAATTTTCCTGCCATTTGTTCAGATCTCAAACAAATTATAAAGCTGTTTTCTTTTAATACAAGGGTCAGGTGTGACCAAGTGTTTAGTGTTGCCAGAATGTGAATCCAAAGGTTAGTGGCCATAAACGTTTGTTCAGCACTTTGTGCTGTAAGAGTGATGTTCAAATCCCACTCTTCAATTGGATAAGAATAGCCTAAGAGCTGGTGGTAGGTTACCTTTGCTCTAGTCTATCAATTCAAAGTTGGGAACAGCTTTATGCAGATAACTATTTGTGAAGCTGTGTGCAAAAATTCTTATACAAACAAACCAATTTTTTTAATACAGTCTTTACTCGTACAAATAAGTATGGGTGTAATTTCTAAAAGTTTGTTTGACATAATTTCCTGGACATTTAAAGACTCCACTTATCAATATAATGAAATTTTAACCTATAAAATGTAAAAGGTTTCAGATTTTAAGTGTTTTAATTTATTTATCACCAAAAATCAGTATTTGAGGCTTATATTTTATTTATTTTTAAGCATAATGCTTCACAAAGAGCTATGTGAACTGAATTAAACCCCAAAGTTTAGCATCATAAGCTCTCAAAAGTACCTCTGAGCATTTTAAAAGAGTACAACATTATAGTATTTAAAAATGAGAAGCATTTCTGTATAAATAAACCTAAAATAGTAAAATTAGATAAACTTAACTTGAAGTATTCACTGCATGCTCACAGTATGTTGCAAAATATTAGGTTTGGAATTTGATTATTCAAAGTTTTCAATAATTATTGGTGACCTAATAACCATAAAAGTCAGATTGTTTAATAAATTTAGATTTTTAAACACTAGTAAAGAAAGAAAACTATTGTTTCAGATATTCTTGCAAAGCTATAAAAGGGCTTTTGACATTAACCACTTCTAATTTAATGTTATTGTTTATTTATTGTCAGTTGTAAGCCTGTACAATGGGTTATCTGTGCTGTGTCCACCACATGTATTGAAATTTGATTTTTAGCATTATAAGCTCTCAGATTTACTTCTGAGCCACCAGAGGGCCTCTAATTTTGAATTGATAAGCTAGGGGGAAGGTAGCTTGTCATCTGCACCCACTACTCCTGAGTGTGGAATGTGATTTTGCAGCAATAGGATACCAACCAAGGACTCTCAGGTTCACATTCTGGCACACTAATCACTAGGCCATGACCAGCCCAAATAAATAGTTATGTTATATTTTTTTTTTCAACCTATAGCATAAAATAAATAGCTTTTCTTTTGGACTTAATTAGTAAATAACACATTGGAATTCTGTTGTAGTTATTTCAATTACTCTTTTTCTCACTTGCATCAGAGTCGAACTTAGACTTCCTGCACACCAGAACAGTGCTCTGAACAACTCCATTTCTCCACAGTAGGTCAGCAGTAAGTTATGGACTTGCAACATTAAAGTCTGGGGTTCACTTCCCCTTGGTAGACAGTGCAGATAGCTTATTGTGCAGCTTTGAGCAAAAATAAAAAACCAACAACAACTCATGCTACTGCACTGTGCAATAAATGGTGTGACCAGTTATGTCTACTTTTCAATTTAAGGAAAAGGAATCTGTTTTTAAGATGATAAACCAGGTGCTATTACCTAAAAGTAGTCGTGTAATAGGCAAATGTGGAGGTTGCCCATGCAAATCCTTAGATAAGTTGCATTTAACCATCAGGTGTGATGATGTTGACAGGCATTGGGTGAATCCATGAAGAAACGTAGTGTTAAATGACCAAACGTTATGTCTAAGATTATAAAAACCTTGACTGTTGTTGTTTTATTCTAATGAGGGTTGTTTTTGAATTTATTCCATTGTTTTGTATATAATTATTCTAGGACTTGATTGACGGTTGTAATTTATTATTGAAAACAACTTTCTGATGCTGTGATACAAAATGATAAAAACCCTATAACCCGAGTGCTTTCGAAATGTGGACCTTTCTTCTTCAGGGCAAACTGGGAATGGTGGTGTAATCGAATGAGTGATATACAAAGGGAGTTGAGTAACGTCATGAAGGTCATCTGGTCTTCCAGGAAAAAAGGCCCGGAATGGCCAGGTGGTTAGGGTGCTTGACTGGCAATCTGAGAGTCTCACCAAACATGCTCGCTCTTTCTGCCGTGGGGACATTATAATGTTACTGTTGGTCCCACTATTCGTTGGTAAAACAGTAGCCCAAGAGTGGGCAGTGATGACTAGCTGCCTTCCCTCTAGTATTTCATTGCCAAATTAGGGACGGCTAGTACAGGTAGTCTTCGAGTAGCTTTGCGCGAAATTAAGATAAAAAAAAACCTTCCATGAAATGTTTAGTATATTTTTCCATATACTGTTGTGTGTTTAATTTCTGGTACAATGTGACCGGTGACGAGAGCGTTATGTAAAAAGGTGTTAGGGATATTTTGCTTTAGAAATGGTTAAAAAAGAAATAAATAAAACTATACTTAAGTATTTAAGTAAAATAAAGGTGACACCTGGAGACTGATTGAAAAAAAAAGAGATGTTAAGCTCCCTTTTTACATGAAAGAAACTACCTACTTTCTTAATTAATATCATAAAAGATATTAATACTAACGGACAGTTAACACGATGGAAGTTTCTCCCCTCTACACTAATGTTCCACATAATGAAATATACCGTATTTTTCGGAATATAAGACGCACCCTTATTTTGAAGGCAAAGTTTTTTGGGAAAAAAAGCTACA